TCTCGTTGGTTGGATCCATTCGTTTTGCTCTCAAATCATATCCGCTGATTTGTATTTGGATCGAAGAGAGAGAAGCTGCTATGGAAGGGCCACAACAACAATCTCTCGTTGATCTTTGCAGTGTACAATTTGATAACTCGAGTCTCATTGGAAACGTTGAGTTTGTTGAATCCCATCTTCTAGAGAAGATTCTACCACAATGCTCTCTACAAGAGCTAGCTCGTATAGAAGATAATAAATCCAGTAAGAATCATATATCGCGATATATGTAATTTATCGGTTTTTCTTTTCCAAGTTATATATATATATGTTTTTTACATTGTTTTGTTTTTTTTTTCTGTTAGGGCATAGATCTTAGTGCGATCACAAATGAATTGTGGAAGAACTTCTTCCGTAGAGACTTTGGTGACCACATCGAAATTGTCGAGGAGAGGATAAAGCTATTGAACATGGGATATGTCGTTTGGAGAAATTTATACCAGGTTAGTTTTTACTTTTGATACTACTATATAAAATAACATATACAAGTCTGATATATGCATGCAATTTTGTACAGCTAAGGCGTGAAGTTGTGGAAGGATTGAAGATAGAAGCTGCTCTACTCCTCAAGGAGTCTGCTTGACAAGTCCCCTCGCTCGCGTTGCAGATTCAACTCTTCTTGGAGCCTCTCGATGACTTGTTTGCGCTCACAAAGAGCAATTCTTAGATCAACCATATATGTTTCTGCAAAACACATACACAATCTTCTTGAATTGTTACTTAATGAGTTCTTGTCAATAACCTTGCATTTACACACAACACAAAAAACATAAAAGGAATCCACAAGATGATGTATTTTTGCTAATTGTCACTCAAATAAAATCTACAGAGAAAAAGTCGTGAGGTTTCTTTATACAAATTTGACTTGAAAGCAAACAAAAACAGATACACAATGTCAAATACTCCCAAAAAAAAAAATATCTTCTTGAACCTTTTCTTTTCTTTGTCTCATAGCCAGAAATAAAGCATTGCCTGTTTCAATAAACATGCCAAATATATTTGTTAGTTCTAATCAAATACTCACTAAATTTCACCACTCAAAAATCTCTTAATGCATATACCTCTTGAACCGAAACAATGGTTGGGTCGATCCAAGGTTGTAAATTCTCCATTGTATTCAAGCT